GGGCGGGGTTCTTAGGAACTTGGCTCTAGCGGCAGGGACTTTGCAAGAAGGGGACTTCCTGCGCTGAACTCGAACTCCGAGTTTAAGAGCACCGCGGCCGCCGCGAGAGGATCCTGGAGGGACAGGTGGGGGCGGCGGGACGAGGGGAGAGCGGGCCGGGGAAGAGCTGAGGTGGGGAAGTGCGGACCTGGGGTGGGGTCACGGAAACCCACGGAGCAATGGAAAGGAAGCGGATCCTAGAGCCTGAAGGCGCGGGGCCGGCTTTCTCCTCCGCAAAATGGGGGGATAAAAATGATGCCCATTTCGCAGAGGTGATTTAAAATACGTGGCGTGCGTACCACACCGCCAGGCAGAGTGTGCGGTGTTTGTTAATGAACAATTGACTTTAAGGATCTTCTAAGCAGGAGTCTTTCACCGGGGTAATTTTTAAAAGATGCTCCTTACGGAGCCTCACCCAGGATTTGTTGAACTATAACATATTGGGTTGGCTTCAAGAATCTGCATTTTGGGGGCGCCTGGGTGGCTCAGTTGGTTAAGCGACTGCCTTCGGCTCAGGTCATGATCCTGGAGTCCCGGGATCGAGTCCCACATCGGGCTCCCTGCTCAGCAGGGAGTCTGCTTCTCCCTCTGACCCTCCTCCCTCTCATGCTCTCTGTCTCTCATTCTCTGTCTCACAAAAAAAAAAAAAAAGAATCTGCATTTTTATTTTATTTATTTTTTTAAGAGTGTATTTATTTGAGAGAGAGAGAACAAGCGGTGGGGAGGCGCAGAGGGAGAGAGAGAGAAGCAGACTCTCCTGATAAGCAGGAAGCCTGATTCCGGGCTCGATCCCAGGACCCTGGGATCATGACCTGAGCTGAAGGCAGACGCTTAACCCACTAAGCCATACAGGTGCCCCAAGAATCTGCATTTTTAAAAGACTGCCCTAAATATTTCTTAGGGGAAGAATGAAGCGGGGGAAATCGGAGGGGTGGATGAACCATGAGAGACGATGGACTCTGAAAAACAGGCTGGGGGTTCTAGAGGGGAGGGGGGTGGGAGGATGGGTTGGCCTGGTGGTGGGTATTGAGGAGGGCACGTTCTGCATGGAGCACTGGGTGTTATGCACAAACAATGAATCATGGAACACTTCATCTAGAACTAATAATGATGTAATGTATGGGGATTAACATAAGAATAAAAAAAAAAAAAGACTGCCCTAAATATTTCTTATGGACACTAAAATTGGGGAATCACTCATCTGTGATTTGCAAATGAAGGAACTGAGAGGTGCCCAAAGTCTCTCTGCAGAGTCCTAAAAGACTGTAAGGCTCTAAGACTAAAATCCTACCGTACATCTTTCTTTCCCTCCAACCGGTTCTGTGGCGCCTAGCAAATTTACCGGGTTCCTAATCTGTGAAATGTAGACAAAGTCACACCCACTGCCAAAGCGGCGAGTGTGAGGATTAAATAAGACTCAGGTGTGTCAAGCACAACCCCAACGGGCGACAAGTGCTGAATGAAGGTTCCCACCCTACCCCATCCAGTTTTCGGAGGTGCAGAGGCCGGTCCCCACCAGGAAGCTCTTAAGTAAAACAGCGTGCCTTGGAAGTGCGAGTCTCAGGAAGGGGGACTGGGGAAGGTGGTTAGGGACTGGCCATCCATGGTGCTCAGTCCCGCTCAGCCAGGTCGGGAGCTGCTGGTGCACCAGGAATGACCCGCAGCGGGTTTCTGCGTCGCTCTGTAGGAGGAAGGACAGAGGGTGCTCCAGCCGGAGCCCCCTGCGCTGACCCAAGGCCTAGGAGCTCTGGCCTCTGGCCACGACTGCGCGAGGCGCGGAGGATACCGCTCTTCCCGGAGAGAGGATGAGCCCCGCATGCAGGCAGCCTCCTCCTTGGAGTCTCTGCAATCAGGGCGGTGCAGGCACCCTCTAAGCAGTCTAAGCAGAGCTTCCCCGCCCCATGACGGCGTTACCTTGTCTTTCGCCCTCCAGATCTTGGGCGCATCTGGAGTCTTATGATCTGGCTCTGAATTTAGGAATCCAGGTCGCTCAACAGTTTTGACCTCAAGCTGAAATGAACATCACCTCGTCCTGCTGGTGGAAGAGTAATTTGGTACATCCTTTTTGTATTAGTAATTTGACAATATTCCCCCAAACCTAGAAATCATGAGCAACTTTTGACCTAGTGCACAGTCTTGTAGACAAGTATGCACCAAACAGAGTAATATGACAGTCATAAAAGAAGTAACAATGACAGCACCTATCATTTAGGGGCTATTTGTGCCTGGTATATTTGGACACTCATTCCATACGGCCTCACTGAAGCCTCCCCACATTATGACTAGTACTAGCAGGAGCTGTTCTTTACTCGGCGATGGCAGAAGCCAAAGAAAGGCAAACAGAAAGAACAAACAGTGGCACCCAAGGCCAAGCTCAGCTAGTTTTCGGTCTGTGCACATTCCACTGTCTAAAGCCAATCAGGTGGCTAAGCCTGACATTAATGAGGTGGGAGGAACTGCAAAGTCACCGGGCAAAAGGTGTATATACAGGGAAGGGTGAAGATTTGAGAACAATTTCTCACATTCATCATCTGGTTCTTCCAGTTCTCCAGACTTTCCAAAATCAGAGAAACAGAATTAGGGTTTCCCTAATTCCCAGAAAATCAAAATAAATGTTTTCTAAGGCAAAATTACATAAAGCTTTACAAAACTTTAAATAGCAAACATGTATAGTGTGTCCTGGAAAAGTACTGTGCATAGAACTAGATTGTATTAAACTGCTCTGGATCCATGAATGTGAGCAACATTCATTCATTCAACTCTGTATCCCTAATATCCAGTACATTATCTGGAAGCAGGAAACAACATGTGTTTTAAAAGAATGAAACCATGTTGGAAATTCCATTATGTGTGTACCGTTTCCTCCTTCCTAAGGGCAGGACTCTCCTCAACATTTACACTTTACAACTCTTGTAAATTATAACTGCACATTTATGTGTTGAAGAAAGGATTGCATAAATGAAAAAAATGTGTAGGAAGAAGTGAGCTGCTGTGCCTTCCGTTGTTAAATATTAAAGGCAACCATAGAACTCTTTCAATAGAAAGAGTTTAGCCTTAGTTTCAGATGGGAGTTCAAATCCTGACAGGAATGTTTCTGGGCAAATACTTGCTAAACCTTTGATCTGTGAATCAGGGCAGATGACCACACCTTCCCCACAGGGTTATTGAGAATATTAAATGAAGCAGGCAGGACGCCTGGGTGGGTCAGTCGGTTAAGTGACTGCCTTCGGCTCAGGTCATGATCCTGGAGTCCTGGGATTGAGTCTCACATCGAGTCCCACATCGGGCTCCGGGCTCAGCGGGGGGCCTGCTTCTCCCTCTGACCCTCTCCCCTCTCATGCTATTTCTCACTCTCCGTCAAATACATAAATAAGATCTTAAAAAAAAAAAGAAGCAGGCATATGCATGTGTCAAGCAGAGAGAAGGAGCTCAGAGCAGTCCCCCAGCAGACCTTATTTGCCTGTACACCCTCTTGACTCCTTCCACCCGCAGATATAAGTGTTAGCCCATCTGTGAAAGCAAACAGCCTGGCTGGCCTTTGCCAAGGAATCCCATGCCCCTCTCTCCATTTATAAATTACCAATAAAAGTAATTACAATAAAATGTTATACACCACCACCAATTTATTTTGAGTTGTTGATATGTTTCCCATAAGAAAATTAGTCATAGAATATGTGAGTGATTTATTAAAGTTAGTGTTTATAGGCCACAGTGTCATATAAACCTTTCTTGGTTTCTGAAACGGGTATTTATTTACAGTGCTTTCAGGAATTAAGAATGAGTTATAACAGGCAACCAAAAAAGAAGTTTGTATCAAGTATGATGAACCTGGAATTTTTATTTACTTTTTTGGGTTTTGTTTGTTTTTTTACAGAGGAAGCATGACTTTTAAGATAAATTCTGAAGTAAAAATGGAAAACAAGGCATCTTCATGTATGATACAAGCTTTTCCTGCAAGAAGGCCTTGCAAAAAAATTAACAGCAAGAACTGCGGGGGCGCCCCGACTCTTGGTTTCTGCTCAGGTCATGATCTCAGGGTTAAGTCAAGCCCTTCATCAGGCTCAGTGCTGGGCTTGGAGCCTGCTTAAGATTCTGTCTCTCTGTCTCCCTCTGCCCTTCCCCCAGGACCTCTTGCACTCTCTCTCTAAAAAAAAAAACAAAGAAACAAAACAAAACAACAACAACAACAACAAAACCCTGTAGATCAGGTTGTACTTTCACATGGTTTATGTAATGTATTATAGGCACATTATCTAATTAAGATTTTCTAGCAAGGATTTTACATTCAGGAGTCACAGTAAACATTCTCCAAATAGACCAGTTACCACCGCATAATTATACCCATGCATATAATTGTTGATATCTGTTTCCCATAAGAAAATTAGTCATAGAATATATGAGTGATTTATTGAAGTTAGTGTTTATAGACCACAGTGTCTTATAAACCTATGAAAAGCCTATTTTTATGTTTTCCAAAATGTCACAGAGTAGTGTAAACCTTGAATATAATAACAGGGCGAATTTCTGTAGCAGAATAACAAACACAGGAATTATTTATAAAAATGCTACTGTATTAAGTCCATTTGCTCATAACTGTTTAACAACATAAAAGCTAAAAAAAAAAAAAAAAAACCATAAAAGCAATAGGCAAGAAATAATGTTACCTTTATATTCGACCTTGCATGTAAAAATTAATCTCTTCCCATCACGGAAAAAACACCCCCTCCTGCTTCGCCTCCTCCCCCCCCCCGCAACAACTTACTGGCTGCAAATTAAGTATGGAAGAAAACACTTTTAGGGGCTAATGATGGGTAAGAGTTGTTCTCTGTAGACCTAATCTAGGAATGAAGAAATAGCCTGTTTGATTAAGCATTTACAAGGAATGCATCTACTTTTTTAGGAGTTCCCTGGTAATTATAAGAACTCTGGTCTTTAGCAGACAAAAGAAAACAAGAGGAAGATTTCATAAATAAGTTTAATGGTCAAATTGCTTTTAAAAACTTTTTGGTTTCTAGTCTTGAGAATGTGAATTTTATTTGGTTTAGCTCTCACTAGCTCTATATTGTAACTTTGTAATTACAACTTCATTTTGTCTGAAATTTGGAGAAAGAAATAATAGAAGATGTAGGGGTTATGAAGGAAAAAGTGTGACAGTAATCTTTCATCCAAAAAAGTTTATTTTCCTATGTCCTTAAGGCAAAATATATTTTATTGTGAATATATTTAAGGTTTAGGAAATATTTGTTATTTTATGGCCTTTCCCCAAGAAGCCAACACATAACTTACCAAGCCAGAAATGTTTTAAAAATAAGGGTTATTAGAATTATACAAAATTATAGAAAGATTTAAGAAAAAAGTGATAGATACCTTGCTACATAGTAGGTGGAGTTGCACAGATGTCTCATAGATTGGAACAGATTTTATTTTAACTTTTCACTATCTTCTTGTGCACTAATATTTCATAGAGACAAAATGTTGAATTCTTAACATCCATGTTTGGGAAGTGTTGTTAAGCCTATTGTCTTCTAAGTCACTATTTTGTTTATACATTGAAATGTACAAAAGACAAAAAAAAAAAAGGAAGGAGGGAAGGAAAAAAAGAGGGGAAGGAAAGAGAAAAAGACACAGAAAATGCTTCACATTGGCATAAATACATTCTCAATGGACCAGACATTTAGATTTACTCTTCATTATAGGTCTTCTTACTCCATGGTATCTGCACAGGCAGCGGCTTCAACAATACCAAAAAGGGACAACTTCACTCTTCTTCAGAGTTGAGATCATTTCTTAATTTACAGATAATATCTCAAAAGTCTATCAAATGCTAACAAGTCAGCTGGAGTAATGGACCAGGAGGTTGCTGGTCAATGTTGGATAATCACCAGGATAGCTCTCCAAAACCAGATAGCTCAGATTGTTGGGCAGTTTCAACCCCAGTATTTTTACCACCTCTTGCTTGTCATTGAAATTTTTACTGCTTCAGAATCTACAATGGAAAAAAAAAAAAAAAAAAGAATCAGCCAAAGTTAAGTCTTTGGCGATCATTGCATGCACTACTCTCAGGAGCACAGAAACTTCTAATAATTCAGAAAATGATAGTGAGTGGTGAAATTTTCATACAATTTGGGTTTTCTGTTTGTTTTTTGCCTTATTGAAGTTTACTCTTTCCAAACCCCAGAGAACCCACAGAAGAGGAGGCAGTAATTGTAGTTACTTTGGGAGTGCTGTATGCACATTAAGTCCGGTTCCCCCCAAATTATCACATATATTGTAGTTACCAACACACTTTTCAACCCTGTCACTCTACACACATCGTATATTCCTCTGTCAATTGCAGAAAACGTGTCATGGTTGTAACTGTGGCTCCTTTTCAAATATAGAATCGAATGCGTGCACATCTGCTGTTGATGCAGATCCTTCAACAGCAGGCTGTCTGCAAGTCCTATCCTACTGGAGTTGTCAGCTCTGAGATTCTTATTCCTGGAGTCCCTACCGTTTTCTTCATCAGGATTGCAAAAGTCTGCCTATATTGGTGGACGTTTGGAGAATCGATTCATGACAAGGTCGTTCACCCCACCTCCATTCTCGGCTTCCGCTTCTTCCTGATTGTCATAGTCATGGGACCTGTCCCATCCGCTGGGAACGCCGGAGTCGCCCAAGTCCCCTCCTCCCCACCCACCCGCGGCGCCTCCAGCGCGCTGGAGCTGGTGACACGCTGCAGACGCCTGGCTAGTGCCTCTGCCCTCACCTTCAACATGATCTGCAGGAGGGGACAGCCTGGCATCCGGAAGCCACGTTTCCACCCACCCACTTCCGCGGCGGGTTCCAGCGCGCAGGTCAGGAGCGGCCTCAGTGCCTCGCGTCCTGTGTCCCGCCTCCCGCTCCGTTCTCCTCCCCCGGGACTGTCTCGGTGATTCAGGACTAGGGGAAGGCGGGAGATGAAGCAGGCAGTGATGGCAGCGAGCAGCACAGTGAGGCAGGTCCTGCTCGCGGGGACTGTGAACGCTTAGGGAGGGAGAGCGCGCGGACTGCCGCAGCCCCGATTCCTGCCTGGGATTGTGTGCACCTTGCAGCGCGAGGGTCCACACTCAGCCTTTCCCGCGCGGTACTTGGCGGCTAGAGCGCGACCAATCGGCTTCCGCAGCAGGAGAGCAGCCGTCCAATGAGAGCAAAGCGACTCAGGATCTCTCCGGCCTTCGGTCAGATGCACAGACAGCTTCCCCAGAAGGCGGACTTCCTGGCTGCAGGCAAAGGTCCCCCCAAAGTCGCGAGTGAAGGCGAGTGAAGGCTAGGTCCGGGGCGAACTATTCTCTTCGGTGAGTTACCCCTTTGGTTCTGGAGCTGACTTAGAGTTTAGAGAAAAGTTATTGATTGACAGGGTCACGAAGGAGAAAAGCCTCAGGCTGGGGAGAGGGGGCAGAAAAACCCCATAAACCGGGATACTGTTGTTTCCTGAAAGGACTGAGGTCTGTCCCTGGAAACTTAGAGTAAAATGAAAGCATGTGTATCTCTTTTGCAGTGCCCAAGGGGAGAGCAGGTTCTAATTTTAAAAACTGATGTGTCTTTGAAGACCCAGCGTTAACTTTATTAAAATGTTTCCTAAGAAGATCAGCCTCTCTGTGTCTGAATTCTGTGTATAGCAAACAAATCATGTCAAATGTGTTTTCCTGAGTGAGCTTCTTTCCAAGATAAAATACTCAGTACTCTAAGTGACAAATGGTGACTATGTTCTCAAGCATGTTCATCATTAAGAGTACTGAAGCCATCTACATTCACATAGCTTGCTAACTACATTAATACTTTAATATGACTTATCTTCTCTTTTCATCAACATAAATTTACTATACCAGGAAACTTCTGCCCAGGGACATGAAAGTTGCAAGTATCTTTATTGTTTACTCCAGTAACTTCCTCAAAGACCCCAGCACTCTTCAGTTGAAAACATCAAAGTACAGTTTCCATCCCAAACCTTCTTGAAAATCCTTGCCTGTCATCCACCAATCCTAAACTGTCACCCAATGCTTACCCTATCCTAACTAATCCCCCACATTAAAGACCCGACTTAAACCAGACTTCAAAATCTCAGTAAAGAACCCAAACTTGCTCTCCCCTTTCTGAGACACTACCAAAGTTCTGTTCGCCATAACCTCAAGAAGCAGTAGGCTTAGCTTTGTTTTATCAACAGGCGGTTGGTTCTGTTGAGACTTCTGGGAGCCAGCATTTGACCTCCTTGGAGGACTCACAACACCTAGTCAGTTTCTGCTGCCGTGTGCCTCTGAGATCCCTTGAACTTTCTCTCCGGTTCTCTCTGAACTCAAAGGTGGGAAAAGTGGATCTTGCATGATGAGGTTCAGCTCCAGCTTCTTTTTGTTGCGTTCCCCCAAGTGCTGAGTTTATTTTGCCCTTGGGAGGAAAGAAACCTTTTAAGGAATCCTTTTGATTATCTGACCAAAACTTTAAAAGGTCTAGATTTGACGGAAATCCGCCTTCTTAGCAATACAACAATTGGTCTCTGCCCGTGTCAGCTGTGGCTGTCCTTGTGTGACAGGAAAGTTCACAGGGGAGAGAAGAGGCCTAGGCTCCCATGTCTGTTTCTCAAACGCGCGGTGGGGACGAAAGACCTTGGGAAGATTTTGTTTCAGGCTGGAGGGACAGAGACAAACACGCTAATATTTTATTCTGGAGACCCCCGACAGCCAGGCCAGCTTCCCGGGTGTCCAAAGAAGCGAAGACCCAGAGGTGGCGGTGGGGAGAGGCGCGTGGATTTGGAGGCTGAGGCTGTTAGAAGCCGGGCAGATAAGAAAGTGGAAGGAACCCAACAGCCCGCCGAGCAGCGGATCGCAACCGGCGGGACGCCTCGAACCACAGCCCCCGCCTCCCGCCGGCTCCGCCCGCTCGGCCCGCTGAGCTAGCGGGGCGCGCCTCCCAGGCCAGCGTCCGGCGACGGCTCAGAGGCCCTGGCTGCCTCCAATAAGCACCGGCCTCGGCTGGGCGCTGGATTCAAGCCCCGGGTGCTGACGGCCGGCGAGGGGTGGGTGAGCGCGCGTGAGCCTGCGGGGCTGGGGCGGAGGGCTGGGGTCTGCTGGCCGCGGCGGGACCCAGAGGGCCCAGCTTTTATTTCCGCGGCGGCTGCTTGTCACGTCGCGTACTGGGGGGAGCGGGGTGGCGGCCTTGCGGGAGACCTAGGTCGGCTGAGACCCGATCCCTCTCCTACAGTCTGGCTCAGCTCTGCGCACTTGCTCCAGAGAGGAGCGGGAGGATGAGGAGAGAGGAGGGGGAGGCGAGGGAGGAAGAAAGGGGAGGAGTGGGAGAGGAAGACGCGGGGAGGAGCTAGAAGGAGGAGCAGCAGAGAGAGCTTGGGGAGGTAGAGGAAGAGGGGAAGAGAGAGATGAGTTGGGGGGAGGAATTCCAAGGGAGAGCCTCTGGGTGGGCAGGAAATGGACCAAGGACCGGCTGTATATCTTTATCTCCTTACTGGAGGACTTAAGGCAAGCCCTTTAGGTCAGCAGAGCCTTCTCCAACTCCAAGAGTGGGCTGGAGTAGGATACCTAGCTAAGGACACTTCACATTTACTATTACATGGTTCACGCTGGATACTGGAAATGATGTTGGCGGGGGGAATGTTGGGGTGTTTTCTTAACCTCTTGCCCCTTTCCACTGTGAATGCTCAAGTTCATCCCAGTGTAGTGCAAAATTCACATTTCCTTCTGTCCACTTCATATTCCTTTTTTGGTCCATATGTGATAATCACTCCTAAATCTCCTAGGTTCTCTCTCAGTCCCTAAGGTTGGGTCATCATCAACGGACACACTGAAACCCCAGATTCTCTTAATTGTTGGACAGTTAAGTTCTTGCCTTCAAGGATCTTCCAACACAGCCCAGTGAGAGGTATCTGTTTTTGTTTCCCCAGGTTCTCTGCTGTCTAAAAAGTATCCCTGTGGTAAGTATATTGATATTGATAATAGTAACAGTAGCAATATTTACTGTGCATCCTGTTATGTGCCAGGCACTGTTCTAAAGGCTTTTCATGCATTCTATTTCTCAGTCTTCACAAGGGAATCAGATTCCACCACTCCTCCCATCTTAGAGCTGTGGACAAGGAGATAGCAGTTAATTAACATGCCCAAGGTCAGGCAGCCAGTAAAAGGTAATCTGATATTGGAACCCAGGTGGTCTTACAAAAACTCCCTTTGATGCAGCACCTTCAGATTCTTTACCTCACTTAGAGTCATTGCCTCATTTTACAAACAGGAGAGTTAGGCTCAGAGATGCTAGAGTTTCCTGGGTAGCTCATTACCAGTAAAGAATGAAGCCACTGCTCCTGCTCCATGGTGAAATGGTTCGAAGAATAGTCATAGTCTTTAGAGAACTTGAACTTGACAAGAAACAGATGCGCTAGAGCATAAGTTAACCACACGATAAAGCAGCCCAGGAGGTGAACGTTCTGCAGACAACTTCTCTGTTCTCTTTAATAAATCAGGGCCTTTTCTAGAATGAAAGAGACATAATAATTAAAGACAACTTGTGCACCTCAATTGGCTCTTTGTCCAAATAAAATAGTATTGTGATTATGCAAGAAAAAGTTCTTAATTTGTAGAGCTGGAAAGAGACAATTAGGGATAAAATGTCACGATGTGTCTAAGTGTAAAATAATCTAGGAAAATAAAAAGATGATGCAAATTTATCAAAAAATAAACAATCATTAACTCTATGTGATAGGCATATGGAAATTCATTATCCTATTCTCTTTTTTTGTTGTTCCTATTTGAAAATGTTCATAATCAAAAGTATACTCTCTGGAGCTTTGCGACCTTGAGTAAATAGTTTAATCTCTCTGGATGCTCAAGTTTTTTATTAGTAAAATGGAACTAATAATGCCTATCACACAGAGTTGGAAGAATTAAATGAGGTAATTTATAAAAAAGCACTTAGGATAGGTCATAGCATCTCATGTGCATACTCCATTCATTCATTGGATCTTTACAAATGTGTCTTTTTTTTTAAGATTTTATTTATTTATTTGACAGAGAGAGAGAAAAAGAGAGAGGGCACAAGCAAGGGGAACAGGAGAGGGAGAAGCAGACTCCCTGCTGAGCAGGGAGCCTGATGTGGGACTTGATCCCAGGACCCTGAGATCATGACGGACCCTGAGATCATGACCGACCTGAGCCGAAGGCAGACTCTTAACCGACTGAGCCACTCAGGCGCCCCACAAATGTGTCTTTATTGAGAGCTCGCCACATGCCAGGCATCGTGGTACATGTTGGGATACTGAACACAGAGAGCTGCTGCCCTCCATGGCTTTTGTTCTATTTATTGCTAATGAGGATTTCAGTGTTTTATTTACATTGTTCATTCTCTTCTGGGGAGACATCAGAGGAAAGATAGAAGGAAAAATATCCCTTCAAACAAACAAACAAAAAAAAACCAAGGAGCAACTTAACTTCCTGACTATCTTCCCAGGTAAACTCTCATTTCAAGATTATTTTTTTTTAAAGATTTTATTTATTTATTTGACAGAGAGAGAGACAGCGAGAGAGGGAACACAAGCAGAAGGAGTGGGAGAGGGAGAAGCAGGCTTCCCACTGAGCGTGGAGCCCAATGTGGGGCTCAATCCCAGGACCCTGGGATCATGACCTCAGCCAAAGGCAGACGCCCAACGACTGAGCCACCCAGGCGCCCTCATTCCAAGATTATTTTGTCTTTATGGTTCTTTTCCCATCCATCCCCTGTAATTACACCATCCCTGTGCCACCTCCACCTTAAATGCAGGCCAGATTTTAACATTCCCGTAACTAGAACACACTTTTGAATTCTCATACTACAAACCCTTCTGCATTTGAATTCCATCTCTGCCACGTGGCTCTGGCCTTGAGGGTCACCTACCTTCTCTGAGTTATATTTTCGTCATCTGCAAAAAGCAAATATACCAGCTTCGCATAGTTTCTAGGGGAATTGGCAATTGGAGAAAATTTCGGTAAAGTATTTAGTATAGTACCTGACGGGCACAGGCTCCCTCCATAAAAGGGAGCTTTTATCATCAAGGTGATTGTAGTTGTTGGATAAGCTCTCTACTTGCTAAGTTAACATCTCTGAAGAGAGGGATGCTAGAGGCAAAGGGGAAGGGTGGGGTAAGGGGTCCCATCAGTGTTATCCTCTACAATTAACATAGCTATGAAAATGTCACTCTAACTTGAACCTTTTTGAAATTAGTGTTTCGGCTAACTGTCCATTCATCTTCAAACCATCATGAGCCCTAAGAAGCGCAGGTCACAGATCGCGTTCGATGAGAAGAGTAATATGAAAATTGAGCACTATTTCTCTCAGGTATGTTTGTAAATACTATTTATGGAATATGCCAATATGAGACATAGCTCTCCTTGACCCTGGGTGTCATAGTGCTTTCTGCCAAGAAATTACCTTCTTGTAGGTTGAGGATATTGTTAAAATCTTTCTCATCCATTTTATTCTACTTTTTAGTTTTAATACAGTTTTAATACAAATCTTGGCCACATCAAAAGAGCCTTCAGTAAAAAGCTATTGTAACACTTCCTGAACAACAACAACAACAAATCTACTATAATGTATTACAGTCAACTATAGAATAAAAAAATTAATACTATTTCATGGCATGAAAATATATACTACTCCAAATATGGCTAATCTGTTTGATCACAGGAATAACCTACATTTGTGCCATGCTTTCTAGTTTATGAAACAAATTCTAAAATAATCATCCTTATCATAACCTTATTAGGCAGGGAGGGAGGATTTTATTATCCTCAATTGATTTATGCAGAGAGAGAAATGACTTCTTGCTTGAGAAAGACTTGTCTCAGACGAGGGAGGACTTGCACTTTTATTTACTGACATTAAGTCAGGGCTTTTTCTAATAAAGGGGCTCTGTTATCATATCAAACCCTCACATTCTTTCCTGAGTCTGAAATGTTCCTTGCATTTATCAAGAAGAAGGCTGAGAATTTTGAGAATTTGAGGATGCAACGTAAAAGCTTTCATTTGTTTTCTTTTTTCTGGTTGTAACTAGAATATCCAAGTATCTAGGGAAGGCGAGAAAAGCCTAGTTATGCTTCTCTTTGTCCTACTTCGTGACAAAGCCAGCTAATAACCATGTGCTACCTGGTTCCCTTATTTGAAAATGTCTGTATCTGCCCTAGAATCTTCTGAATAGTTGGAGATCGATTACAGTGTTCCAACAAGGATGTTTCTGACAACACTGGGCTGAAGAGATGCTCTTTGAGAGTTTGTTATATTGTGCCCAGAGTAAACTTATATTACCTTATGTTCATTTTTTTTTTTTTATCCAGAATATTAGCACCATTACAAAGAAGGGAAGCAAAAGTTAATCTGTTAATGTGCCAGTCATCATGCTAGGTATTGTCACCCATGACGGTACACTGAATCTTTACAACCATCCTGCCTTGTTATTTCCATGACCAGCAAGTGATCTTGCCACTATATGAACTTGTATCTGTCCACACCAATGCCATGATGAATGTGACTTGGGAAAAATGTCTCATTCAGGCATAGAAATCAAATGCTCTTAATTTTTCAGGGAATTTCTGCTATTTGATAAATCCTCCTTGTGTAAGGTTGTATTCAGGGTTTTAAAGCATTTAACATTTATTTTTAGGTCAATAAAAACCACGAGAATAATTCCAGTATTCCTCAAATGAAGATGGGCTCTAAAAAAGGTCCAAAAGATATAACTAACACCCAGGCTCAAGGACCCAAAGACCAGACCATGCCCCCAAACAAGACAATTTACATCACCTTGGCTGTGAACCACAGGAAACACGTGCTCACACATAGTGAAGGGGTTAGCTTATACGCAGCACTCAACACTCTAAAGGCTGTCAAGAAGGAACTAAAAACTCAGCAGGGCAAAGAAATGCTGGTGCTTGGCACGGAAGGAATTGAAGGCTACATCAATCTTGGAATGCCCCTCAGTTGCTTTCCTGAAAGCTGCCACGTGCTAATCACATTTGCCCAGAGTAGAAGTAGGCAGAAAGAAGGGAGCCAGGTATTTGGCCGGCATGACAAGGTGTCCCCTGACTGTGTCAAATTTTATATTCATGCAATTGGGAAGAGAAAGAAAAAGATAGTTAAGCGCGGGCATCTTCACAAAGAAGGGTGCAAACTCTGCGTCTACGCTTTCAAAGGAGAAACCATCAAGGACGCTGTGTGCAAGGACGGAAGGTTTCTCCCCTTTCTGGAGAAGGAGGACTGGAGACTCATCAAAAACCTGGACTCCATTCTAGAAAGCGCACAGACTGTTGACAACCTGGAAGGCGAGCTCTTTGAGGTGGAAGTTGAGAAAACCAGGGGCTCTGGAGCCGGAGCTGCTCAGAATTTGGAGTCAGAGGAAAGAAACACCTGTGTGTTGAGAGAAGAAATTGTAGCTCAGTACCCCAGTTTGAAGAAAGAAAGTGAAAAACTCAGAGACAACTTCAAGAAGAAACTGGGAAATAAAAAGAACAAAGCTTCATTATTTAAATTGCATGAAGTAAAGTTTGGGAAACTGACAAAAAACTCTACCCCCGTAAAAATGCACAAACTTCTTTCTCATCTCAGTGACTCAGTTGGGTACCTGTCATGGGACAACAATGGAAATAGGGGTTCTGCCACCTGCTTTGTTTTTAATAGGCTGTTCATTTTAACTTGTCGGCACACAGTAAATGACATTGTGGGAAAAGGAATAGACCCAAGTAAGTGGGCAGACATAATTGGTCAGTGCGTAAGGGTGACGTTTAGTTATGAAGGGCCCCCCGAGAAAGAAGAGAACTGCTTTTTCGTTGAGCCTTGGTTTAAGGTATCTGATGCAACTCTCGATTATGCCATTCTGCAACTGAAGGCAAATGGACAACAAGTACCTTTGGGACTCTATCACAGAATTGCTCCTGCACCACTTAGTGGGCTGATATATATCATTGGCCACCCGTATGGAGAGGCAAAGTCGAGTGATGCTTGCACTGTGATCCCTCTGGAGCAGCGAGTAGGGAAATTTCAGGAACATCCTCAGGCTAGAGAGGGAGAGGGTAGCCGTGATGATATGCAATATATCCATATGTACACTCAAAGAAGCTTCCAGGACATCGCTCATGATCCTGATGTGATTACCTATGACACCTCTTTTTACTTTGGGGCTTCTGGCTCCCCAGTGTTTGATGCAAAAGGTTCATTGGTAGCCATGCATACTGCTGGCTTCGCTTATATGTACCAAATTGGGTTATCTCATGTCGTTGAGTTTGGGTGTACTATGGAATCCATCCTCCTTCATATGAAGCAAAACCATGGATGGTGGTTTACAGAAGAATGTATAAATCAGCAGGATGTGGAAATGGTGAGTGATGAGGATTGAGGATGGTGAGAATTCAGTTTATTTCCTCGCTTCAGTGGAGTTGTTATTCCATAGGCAATGGTGATCATTTCCTAAATTCCAAAATGGTTACTTCTGTTATGAAAAATTACTATTATAGAGCACTTCCCATGCACCACTTCTCTAAACACATGAAGACTATAATCCTAACAAGTGGGCTGTTAACCTGTTTTTAAAGTCGAGCAATGGGAAGAATGATGGGATTGTGACACGTAACACTGGTGTCAAGTGTGTGTGTGTGTGTGTGTGTTTTCCCTATCTTCTGTGTCTTCCCCTAAGTTCAAGTGCTTGAAGGCAGGATCTAACACTTGTTCATCTCTTTATCTGCGGTGTCTGGAAGATGGAAAGCAAGTGCTTAGAAAATGTGTGGGTCAATCAGTAGCACAATGTAGGGCTGCAGTTAATCTTAATTGAGGAACTAAATGCTTGGTTGGAAATAATCTCACACAAAATCTTTAGAATTCCCAAATCTTCATATTACAAAAACCCAGGATATATGTGTTCTGAAATGCAGAGGGTAATACCACTCTTCCTATATTTATCAGGCTATTAGGGCAAAGAGAATGTCTTAAAGATCATATCACTGTGATCTTAATGCCCTTAGTTTTTACCTTTTTCGTTCTAGGATCGCAAGCAGCATAGCACATTACATTTAGTTGTATGTCTCCTTAGGCTCCTCTTGCCTGTTCTCAGACTTTGACTAGTGACCTTGACAGTTAAGAAGAGTACTGGTCAGGTATTTTGTGGGATGTCCTTCTGTTGCAATTTGTCTGATGATTACACTGGGGTTGTGGGGTTTGGAGACTGGAGGGGCAAAGTGCCTTTTCACCACATCATATCAAGGGTACATATCCCTTTGACATATCCTCATTGGTGTGTTGTTTGTTTCCTGGCTTTTTTTTTTTTTTTTTTTTTT